AAACCAATTATTTTGTAGATTTTAAATTATGGAGTAAATAAAATTCATGATGTCAAATTCTAATTCACCCAATTCACTAATTCCTTCTCAATCATCATCATATAATATGAATTTGCAAACATTAAAATTAGATAATTAACAATAATCAAGAATTAGCTACAGGACGTCCTGTGTTTGGTGTATGGTTAACACTCCATTAAAATAGTAAATGAAGAATCACTTCAACAATCAGAATTATCAGATGATTCTACAGATTTTGAAGAAAGTTATCAAACCAGCAATAGATGTGAAGCAGCAATTCCTACTAAAATTTTGCGTAAATAAAATTTCCTTTGTCACTTTTCGTCACTTTCGTCACATGTGTCCCATTTGACGAAATACTTTTTACACCAAAATATTTTCGTCACCCAACCTTGGTTATATTCATCAGCTGGCTACTTTTTTTTGAGGAGAAAAATTTAGGAGTGATTTCAAAAAATGATTATTCTTTATTTTATATGTTTGAATTAACATTATTTTACATATTAACAATCTCTAAGTATACGTGCTTGTGAAATTTAGATGTCAAATCATTCTTGAAGAAAAGTTCAAATATTCATTATTATATTTATATTAATATACATACAATTATAAACCAAACATCTAAAGAAATCTTTTATAATTGTGGTATAGCAAACTTTTAAGTATTAAAATCATTCAACTTTGTCAAAGGCCAGAATTTCTATTTGTAATAATGCATATCTCAATTATTTGTTATTCAAACAACCAACTATTCAATGTAACTTGGATATTCAATATTAATTACAAATAATTCAAATAATAACGTAGAAAACTTTAAAACATGTAATGCCATTTTGTCTCATGAGCTGAAAATTTATTTGAATTCATTATTTACCTTTACAATTTAGAGATAGCATAATCCCTTTCACTAAGCTGAATAATTATTTTGCATAATAGTAATTCATAAATATCTGTTTATTTATTACCATCATTATCAACATAACAACAATACTGCCTATTTTCATCATCATCAAAATCACCACAACCCTTGACCTTGGAAATGATGTTGAATATATAATAATAACAAATAAATTAATCATGCATGAATTCTGTTCAGAACCTTTGGAATCATTTTTAGATTCATATACTTTTATTATATGCTTTATAATCAATCACTTATCAAAAGAAAATTCGAGGAATATTTTTATTGAATATTTTTTTTTTGTGCCAGATTTAGACATAACCCCAGTTGTTATTACACTACATGGGATTACGTATTACTATTAGTATGGGAATTTTTCCGCATATGGTCATTTTTAAACAATTTTTCAACAACAAAACTATGTCTGCAATTATTACTCTCACCTGTCTTGTTCATTTGAAAACGCTTGTCAATTCACCTACTTTTTCGATCCAAATTAACAAAAAAGAAACTATCGAAAAGCTCAAGGAAACAATTAAAGAGAATAATGCACCCGATTTTGATAAATTCACAGCCAAAAATCTCAAACTGTGGAAGATTGACATTGCCAATGATCCTCGTCATTATTTTACTGAATATTATCTAGGAGAGATTTATGATCACAGAAAAGAGATATCTACGACAGGACATGTTGAAGACTACTGGACTGATACACCACCCAAAGGGAATATCCATATTATAGTTGAGCCGCCTGTACAAGTGATATTCATCCCGGTGCATGGAGCACCAGTGGTGAAGATTAAACCTCATAATATTGAATTCAAGGAAATGGTCGGTTGTGAACAAACTGAACTGTATGTACATGCTTCAGTTTTCTTGTCATTCCATTGTTTTGTATGTCTAATGTTTTCTTTGACTGTTATCTACCCAATAGGAAACCTGTTTTATATGGACTACCTGATTATGACCTCTATATGTATCTTGATGATACTGGACTTTTAAAAGATCTGCCAAGAAACGCCTTGGCAACTTGTTTATTATATGGAAGAAAAATGGATCAAGTTCCTGGAGTACGAGGACACGTTGTGCTCTACGATTCTTACAAGCAGCTAACCCTTGATGACTTTCGCTTCATACTTTCCACTGCACAAAACCTCAATTGATATACCAATGGGTTAAAAAAAAATTTTTTCGACATATTAGATCCTTCCCTAAATACATGTGTCATATCAGAAATAACAGACATATATATAAATCATTCATTTTTTTTTGGAAAATAAATTCATGATATACCATACCATAATAATTAATATCAATTCGTTTTTTTATTTTGATGTTTGTTAACTAATTGTCACCAATAACCAACAATTATTAAAATGTATTCATAATAACGGAATATAAATTCCATAATTTATATTTATTTATATTCTCACGACTTTTTTCATTTTCAGATCAATTAGATGTCAGAAATACAAATGCCAGAAGTTTTCATAATTGAATATTTTTTATTGGTACGTTTTCTAAAGAAAAACTTTTCAAAAATGATTTCATTGTATCCAAGTAAAAAAGTTTTTGCAGAAAGCCACTTTGAAACTTTGGTTTTAAATAGATCAAAACTTTTACTTGATTTGATTAACACAAGGAAATAATATAATTATATATAAACTTTTGATTAGAAAATGATTGCATATTTATTTAACTCAAGTTTAATAATTAATTTTAACGGAGATTTTATTTATTAGAAAAGAATAAATCATTTCATTCAGAAACGTCACATTAATTACTAATTCTTTTTTTTTAAATAAATACTATTTTGATGCATTAATACCAAAAAGTTGAAATGTCATTTGTAAAATTATTACCTGATAAATAGATTCATTCCCTCCATAATATCCAACATAACAATATACAATAAGTAAATATTCATAATTTATAAATTAAAATCTTGATAAATTATTGTTTTAACCTTGCGCCAGGATAACCTTTTGAATATTTATTTTGTCCTAATGCTTCCATAACAGAATGTGATGTATATTTCTTATTTGATGATTTTGGATAGAAAGATAACAAGGATGTAATATTTATATATGATATTTGGTCCACCAATAAATTAAATATGTTTACATACTTTAGAAGAAATAAATTAACACAACACTTTTATTTTGTCTTTTCTTTTTCAATAATATCAAAAGCAACAGGATAAATTTCCGCCAAATGTTGATTCATATACTAACAGTAATTATTAATAAATTAATCAAATTAGTAGTTCTTTTAAGAAATTTAAATTAATTTCAATATTGATTGATGATTGATTAATTACTTTATGTTAAGTATTTGAAAAAAATAATTTCTCTAAATATAATTAGTTAATTGGATAAAAAAAATCATTAAAATTCTAAATTATATACATTCGCACATATTAAAATGCTTACAGTAATGGTTGATTTAGATAATTGATTTCTAAATGTTGTAATTAATTGTTATATTTAAAACTTCGCAGATCATAATTTTATACCTCCCGAATGGCGATCACCTCTATAGCCTTTTCTAAATAACTAAAAGTAGAAATTCTAAGTGACTTCGTCGGACCTATTAAAATAAGATTTTTTTTGTCTAAATTAGTTTTATAAATATAAGCGGCAGAACCCATAAGCCCGAAACACAGGCTTGTTTTAACGTGACATAATTCCAATCCAAAATTTCATCAATTTTATAATTATTAGTAATTGAGACATCTTTAGTGTCAATATCGATATTATCAATATCACCATTATCGTCACCGCCATAGTACTTCATTTGTAATCCTTTTTTTTTTGTGTACTAATATTTTTGATACAAGTGGGTTTTACAAATTTGTCATATTGAGCTAATTAATGTCAGCACCTATCTACACTCTATATTAATATTGATTTTTTTAGGGTGTATATCGCATTACAGTTATTTTATAATGGTGTTGGGCAACTTTTTTTCACACATAAACTTTGTTTGTTTAAAAAGGAGATTTACTAACGCTGCTAACTAGTTGAATACACATTTCACCAAAATATATTATTTTAATGATAATAATACGCATTGTAACGATAGTACATATTAATACGGAATTTATGACATACTGAAATGGTACGTTTTTGACGCGTATGAAACATACGAAAACAAAAACATACCATTTCAGCATTAGTAGTATGTCATGAATTCCGCACCTATTCCGTAGGTTTTGTACGCAAAAAACTACTAATACACTTTCATATTAATACTCAGTATTTCACATATTTGATGCAAGGAGTAACGTACTTGTTACTTTTACAGGCGTAATTGTGAATATTTGAAATCGATAATTAAAATTTTGTGTGGGTTACACGAACTATCAAAAAAAAATTGAGATTTATCATTTTAAAATAATAAAATTTACCGCGCGTTGTTATAATTATTGTTCTTTGTTGATGTTATTAATTATTATTAATGGATTTCCATATATGTTAGCCAAATTGATTTTCTAAATATGCCAAACTCTTCCTCAAC